CAAACATAGCAACGATTGTGAGGATAGCGTGGGATTGGGCAATGTTTCGTTCTATTGTCCATAGGGTCCCTGTGAGTAGGAACTGACTAGTCGGTACCTAGCAGCAACAAATATATCCTGGACCCCTTCTTTTTAAAATCCCATTATTAATTTTTCTAGATTTTAATATGTGTAAAACTGGCCTTCCAGATGAACTTGTCTGCTTCATGTTATAGAAGAGAAATCTATGATCCAACATGTCCCTTTTTCATATGCAAGAAAATCCCAAGTTCATTTTATAATTGTTTTTGGCTATTTCTAAATTTCCAAGTGGTATCTTTTTGTTTTAAATTACTGTTTCCTCACATTTACTCCTCATTGCACCAAGTAATTTCTTTATATTTTCCAAAAACATCTTTTTTTTTCTCCCTATTCCTAAACCCAGGATTCAGGTTCAGTCTACCTTTTTTCCAAAGGCAACTTCAGTCCAATTTTCCATTAGAAGTATCACTGTAAAACACTTTCTGTTAAGTCACACTAAACAACATCTTTGTTCAAAGAACTATGTTAACAAACTAAGTAACATTAAACAGTAACAGGAGGCTTTAAATTTAATAGTCATATTGAAAGAATGTGATAACTTCAGCATCATAATTCATGTAACCAATAGTGTACAAGCTGTAACTTACTGCATTCATCATTTTAAGACAATGAACTTGTCTTATATTTAAACAATATGTGCTTAGTTAAAGTGTATTTTTTTCTTTACAACATTAATTTATTTTGACTAAACATTGTTTTCTAATGAAAATTGTTATGGAATTCATGAAATACACTTAAAAAGTAAGAAGTGTTGGAAATAGTTTCAGTGAATTTGATTTTTCAAATGCTTTGAGACTGTTATTTCTTTTAGAGTGAGATTTTCTGCCAGTTGACAGTATCATTGATTTGTCAGGGAGAAGATCAAGTTTCCAATTCTGAGCATAAAATAAAGCAGGAAGCACACTGCTGGTAGAATATTTTATTGGTGAGAACTTTCATTTCATATTATCTATTTATTAAAATATTGGCGTTATACTTAAGGTTTAATAAGACAAGTGCCAATAAAATAAACATTTCAATTCTAAATTGACCTTTTTCTTTCGTTTTTTAAATTGTACTTTAGATGCAGGTTTACAGAACAAACTAGCTTCTCATTAAACAATTAGTACATGTATTGTTTTGTGACATTGGTTGCCAACCCCTCCACATGTCAACACCCTCCCTCCTCAACCTTGGGTTCCCCATTACCAGCTTTCCTGTCCCCTCCTTCCTTCTGGTCCTTGCCTCTGGGCTGTTGTGTCCATTCTGTCTAATTTTGTTTTATGGACCTGTCTAATCTTTGGCTGAAGGGTGAACCTCAGGAGTGCCTTCATTACTGAGCTAAAAGGATGCCCAGGGGCCATAGTCTCGGGTTTCTCCAGCCTCTGTCAGGCCAGTAAGTCTGTTTTTTTTTTTGTGATTTAGAATTTTGTTCTACATTTTTCTCCAGCTCTGTCTGAGATGACCTTTTTCTTTTAAAGTTGTTTTTCAATCCAGTCTCTGGCACAAATAATATGTGTGGAAAATGTTGCAGACCAAATCTATGTCCTTAAAACTTAACCTTATTCTTGGTAGACTAAATACCTAGTGCAAGTTTTCAAGAAGTGAAAATCTTAAGCGTTGAGTATAATTTTAACTCTTTCCTTTACTGCCAATTTATTTAAGTAAATCAACAATTTTGATAGCACCCAGACATAGACACAATTACATGTCCATAAATTGAAGAAATGTTCATGCCTTTCTCTTCTTCTCACTGAAGGTATTACTTACCCTGTGCTAACCTGACTTGATTAAACAAGAAAGTCTTCATAGATGAGAAAAACTCTCTTAGATAACTCATTGACATTACAGTTAATTTTAAATATAAATTATAATCTAGGACTTTCAAAAATTACTACTTTTTTTCTAAAAGTATAAATTATCACATTTCTTAGGTTAGAACTCAGCTGTAAAATAGTAATGTAACACTTATAGGTTAAGGTGAAAACATGTATATTGCCTGGGGCTTAGAAATAACATCTTTTTGTTTCATGTTTTTACAAAAAATATCAATGTACTTTACAAGTATTAATTTTACAGAATACTTCAATGAGATAGACGTATTCTTAGTAACAGAGGCAACTGAGAAAGCAACTAAGCAGGTTTTTCTATTCTCCAAGTTGCGTGAGTTTGGGGCCAAATTCGATCATTCAGAAACCTGGAAAAAGTGTTGTTTTAAATACTAGATTGTTCCATTTACCTGAAAGTTTACTGCGAAGGCATCAATACTTTAAAATATAATTTAAGACACTTTGATGAAAATACTTTTAAAATATACTACACCTTTCATTAAGTACTTTACGATCTTCCTGGATGCAGTATACTGAATCTTACTTACCCTTTTCTGTGTGACTCAGAGCCATAATTATTAGCCTGATTTATTGTACACTGTTGCAATGCAGTAACGTCATTATGGGACAAGGAGCTGTTTGCCCTTACACCAGTTGTCTTTGTGCCTGCTTTTTAGTTTTTCGGTTTCCTCACTTACTGTCATTTTCCTTATTCTTAGTGTGCCTGCTGACAGTAGCTTGTTAATCCCTCTTTTTTTTTTAGTTTGGTCTACTGAGGGAAACCTACCAACAAGGCTTGTTACTATCATCTTAAGCTAAGTATAAATAGATTTCAAGTGACAGTCTACAAAAGTCGCCTCTGACTGGTACCCGGGCATGCCAGCATGTGGACTTTATAACATCAACACTGGCTCTCTGAGTCTTGTGTTCCTTCCTTCTTGGTTTTGGGCAAAGTTCCAGCTGAGTGAGGTGTTAGAGCGCAAAGATTATCTATGGAATTGAGAGAAAGGCTAAGCTAATAAAATTGTTCCTATTTTCCAGTTTTGTGACTCCTTTGCAGAAAAATCAAATCTTGCACTTTAGTAAAAACAAAATTCTTAACCGATACCTTTTTTTTCTGTTGTAAACTTAAGCTATACCTCTAGTATGATAAACAGTAAGCGTATGGATGATTCATTTCCTTTTAAAAAGGGATTACAGATAAAGCAATGATTAATAGGAAGAAATAGATATGAAAATAGCAACGAAAGCCTTAGTCAGCATCCATTCTAGAAATACTTCTTTCCTCTTCATGACAATACAGACATTTTCTATTTATATTCTCTCCGTGGTCAACCATGCTAAATGTGCAGTCTCTTAAGTGTCAGTCCTTTCTTCGGTGTTAATAAGAGCTCTTGTTAATATTTATTGTACAATAATGGATGCTTGTGGTTTCATCAGGTATCTTCAGAACAGGAATAAAACCAGCCTGCAGCTTCCAGTGGAATAGACACAGCCCCTTAAACGTAAAATATGGAAGACATTTCACTTAGGAAACCATTGACCTTTAATTGGTCATTATTTCAGTTTATCTGAAAATAACTCTTTATTTGTTTAAAAAAAGTAATTAAAACATTTGCCTAGAACTAGTCTGCTCTAAACTTTACATGTGTTAAAAATCACTTTTATGAGGTTTATCACTGAAGCCCACACTGCCAACAGTAAGGACACAAATTAGAATGTATGTGAAGGTTAGGAACCAAGGCCCTCTTGCCACTCTGCTGTTCTTCTTGCCTCTCCCCTAGGAGCATTTTTGCAATATTTTTTCCACTGACAAGGTTTATTGGACGGTAGGCCAGGATTCTGGCCTGTTATGATACGATCTAGAAAGAAAACCTTCAACCCATGCAAAGTTATCTGTTGGAATATATTTTGTGCTTCTCTTTAAATAAAGCTGTACCATTCTGGGATTAGATATATTTTTCCTAAAGTATTGAAACTAATCAAGTTTAGACTGGCAAGTGAGTGAATGTCAATATGAGTAGAACACTTTACTTCCTTCAAAATTGATTTAGATGTGCATGTGAATGTTTCTATGCTGTTCAAACTCTTTGATATGTTATATTAGATGCAGGTGTAATTTAATATAACTCTAAAAAATAAAAGAACTCAAAACAGAAACTCAATTGTTTTTTTTTCCTGAAATTTTTTTCTTTTAAAATTCAGAAACCAATCTTTGTCAAACATCTAGATCTCTCAAAATTTATTTTGACCTACATTTCTGTACATTTTGATAATAGTTATTTCTAGATTGCTGTCATTCTAATCCAGAGGGGCATCTTTAGATTGGCTTATGGTTGCCTGATTAGCAGAGCAAGTTTCCATGTATGTCTCCATTCTTCCATGATTTACAGACTTTGAACATGTGAACATAGGCAATTCTTATTCCCTCTACATTCTCCCCTCCAATTTCCCTTTAGTTTCTTTTTTTCTTTCTATCCTTTCCTGATGACTGGTTGAAGGTAGGTGTTATTGAAGCAAAAGTCATGAATTAGGTCCAGTAAGGACCACTCAGAAGCCCTGGTGGTGCAGTGATTAGGAGCTCAGCTGCTAACCAAAGGTCAGCAGTTTGAATCCACCAGCTGCTCCTTGGAAACTCTATGGGGCAGTTCTGCTTTGTCCTGTAGGGTCACCATGAGTTAGAATCGACTCAGTGGCAACAGGTTTTTAGGTTTTAGTTAAGAACCATTCAGCTGTTCTTTTTTCTTTTTTACCTTGTCCCCCTTTTCACAATCAGACCACCCTCATAACTGTACCATCAGTCACATCAAGGATTGAGCAAGAAAATGTGTGTAGAATAGCACCAATTTTTCTTCAGCCCTGAACAAACAATAATGTCTATGGTGTTGGCTCTACCTAAGAAACGTGGCACATTCATTTAATGTCCTATTACAGTGTGGAAGTTGAATTGTCAAACAGGACCATGTGCCCTCAGTGAGCAGTTGGGACTTTCTCCTGCACAGGCTCAAGACCTTGCTTTATTTAAGGCTAAAGTAAAGAATGTCAAGGTGAAAATTCATAACTGGCTAATTTCTACCAGAAAGTGTCAGCATCCTGTTTTTTATCTTCTAGGAACCAAAGAGGTTGTTGTGAATGTGGATGATGACGGAGTCATTTCTTTGAACTTTGAATGTGATCAGATGTCTCCAAAATCTGAATTCATCTGGTCCAAGGATTACATATCCACTGAGGACTCTCCACGGTTAGAAGTTGAAAGCAAAGGCAACAAGTAAGAACTGCTTCAGTGGTAATGATGAGTTTCTTTTTCACCATAGGAGCATGAAGTAAGCTCTTTGCTTTCCATTTTAATGACTTGGAATAAGGGGAGGAAGTTGCAAATATATTATATCTGGTATTACAAAAAGTCATAACAAATATAAACCTTAAAAATATTATAAAGTACTTTTCATATTAGTCTCCTTGAAGTGCTTTCTTGTATATTATCTCATTTATGATGTTAGAAAAGCTTTGATTGACATAAAATTCCACTTTAAAGATGATTCTCATTAATTCTAAGAAATTTTGGAATCTTAAAGTAGTAGTGAGGATGCTTATGGGGGGTTGCTGGGAAGAACTTGCTACTTGCTTCAAGTTATGGTAAATTAAATGGACTAAATATAATCTGCTCCTTTCACCATCAGTGATGAGTGAAAATAACTCAATAATGGGTAGCACAGAATAGATGCGTTCTAGTTCCATCTCTTCCAGTGTGACCTTGGGCAAGCTATTTAACTTCTGTGGACCTCAGATTTCTTTTCTTGTAAAATGGGGGAGGGGAGAGGGAATTAATTTTATGTTTTCTTCTTTTCAGCTCTAAGATTTTGAGTTTTGTCTTTACCTCACCTTGCTTATCAAGCCTGGTAGTCTTGTAATGCCATCCGTATTGAATTGTATTTGCTAAACCAAAGTATTTTAAAGTATTTTTTCTATTACAATGAAGCCAAATAACATCTCAGAAAGAAATAGCAATTTAGTTGGAGAATGGCAAGGAAATACTGACTATAATTAAAAGACATTTCTCTGTCACTCTGCTGTAAAGTCTTTGAAGTAAAACATTCATTTGGTCAAAGAAAAGATAAACTATAAATAGTTCTTCCAGTGTCTCCACTTGGCTAACATTACAATGTTTGGCTGATCTTAGACACTGAGTAGCAGTATGACTCACCAAAGTTAGAAAACACAGTAAAATGTGACCATTGATCCACTCATTCGTTTATTCATTCCACAGATATTTATTAAGCACATATTATGTTCCAGACAAGGTACTGGGTTTTGAGGATACAACAGTAAGCAAAACAATTTGTGTTCCTGCAGGCACAGAGATTACGTAGTTGGGGGATATAGATAATGAAACGGGTAGTATCAACCAGTACGATAAGCTCAGAAAAGGGGAGCATGTGAGTTGACTAGGAGAGGCACCCTGCAGTACCGACAGCAGGCTCCACCCCATGGGGAGAAAAGTCAGGCTCCCCAGCAAGGGCTGATTAGCTATGTATCTTCCTGCCAGATTTGTATTGGTATACAAGACACTTTGAGGGTAGGAGATACCAGCTACCCCGTCACACACACACATCCAGGGAGGTCAGAAAAGTCTTCTCAGAAATGACATTTAACCTAAGACATCAAAAATCAGTATGTTTTAGCTCAGCAAGGGGGATAGGAACAGTGTTCCAAATAGAGGGAGTAGCCTGTGCAAATGCCAGCCTACCTACAGAAAGGGCAGAACATAGGTCCACTGACCCCTTGCAGCTTCAGTTCTAAGAAAAATATTCTGTTCTGAAGGACAAAAATGACCTTTAAAGACCTTGGGATGGACGACTTGGGAGTTTACTCCTGTGATGTAACAGACACTGATGGAATAGCTTCAAGCTACTTAATAGACGAGGAAGGTAAGTTTCAAATCAAATTAACAAGTCTAATGCCACTTTATTTCTCAAGTATTCTCCAAGATAAAGAGAATTTTGTTTTATTAGTTTAAGGTTTAATGTTCTCTTTTTCTTTCTACAGAGTTGAAACGTTTACTTGCTCTCAGCCAGGAACACAAATTCCCAAGTAAGTGTCTAAAATGCATCCACAGAGCTCAGGAATTTTACTAGATAGTGACTTCTGGAATAGGTCAGGTGACAATCTGATGGTATGGAGAACAGAGGCTCTTGAGAACATAAAATGGAACCCACATTGGTGTTTACAGATATGCTTTCTAAAAGTGCTGCTTTTTCATTGCTATACCGTTTGTTCTCCAGAGATACAAATGATACGAATGTAGAAAATATATCCCATGTTCTGTTACATAGAGAGAGGTCAGGCAACATAGGTGTAACATTTGAGCAATTAAGTTCTTCAGGTTTTACTACATATTTTGGAATCACATATATATCTTCTGGGTATATGCAGACAACTATACACGTGAACCTCGCCCGATGGAATAGACAGGAATCAAATCGAACACAGAAAGAGATGTTAGAGAAGTTCAGTATCATCAGTCATAATAAGACCAGGGGCCGACTGTGGACAGACCATCAATCGCTCATATGCAAGTTCAAGTTGTAGCTGAAGAAAATTAAAACAAGTCCACTAGAACCGAAGTATGACCTTGAGTATATCCCACCTGAATTCAGAGATCATCTCAAGAATAGAATTGACGCACTGAACACTAATGACCAAAGGCCAGACGAATTGCAGGATAACATCAAGAAAATCATAATGAAGAAAGCAAAACATCATTAAAAAGAAAGAAAACACCAAAATGGATATCAGAAGAGACTCTGAAACTTGCTCTTGAACATAGAGTAGCTAAAGCAAACGGAAGAAGTTATCACGTAAAAGAGCCGAACAGATTTCAAAGGGCAGCTCAAGAAGATAAAGTACTATAATGAAATGTGCAAAGACCTAGTGTCAGAAAACCGAAAGGGAAGAACACACTCAGCATTTCTCAAGCTGAAAGAACTGAAGAAAAAATTCAAGCCTCGAGTTGCAATATTGAAGGATTCTATGGGCAAAATATTGAACAACGC